ATGTTCGGCCCTGTAGAACCTTGTTCTCAAAGTGGCCCAGTTATCATTGGGCAAAATGGGTGTACAGATAGATCCATTGGCATTGACGGAGCAGGACACTTCCAGATTGTGGGCCTTTGCACCTAAAATCATGTTCCTCATCCAGTTTATACCAAATTTGGCCTGCTAGTGTTGTCGCCACCCACGGACCCACAAGACAGCCTTTTAGTCCACTGTCCAGCTAGATTCCCAACTGTCAAAGAAAAACTAGAATGATGAATCGAGCGGGCCACCTCCACGACTGATCACCTTTGACCGCCTCTCAATCCAATCCTGCCCCACAAATCTGACCCAGGCCTCACGCTTTTACAGTTATCGTTTTCATTGCAATTTTCACCGTAGAATATTTTCTCAATCCGACGAATCTGAGGCTTAATGCTTTTAACACAAACAGGCATAAAAGTTCAAAACAGCACAAATAGACCTAAATAAAAAATATATATATAGTTGAAAAAATAACCATTTGGATTAGCTATTTTTAGAAATATTTTAAAAAAATTTTACGATAGCAGAGTTTTTAGAGTATATTTTGAGATATTTTTAGAATATATTTTGAGATATTTAAGAATAGTAGAATTTATAAAATATATTTTAAAATATTTTTTAAACATTAAAAAAAATTTAGAATATTTTTAAAAAATTTTTATAGTATTTAAAAATTAAATTTTGAAAAACTAATAGATTCAAACAAATCGTTTGAAGTAACTGAAAAATGTGTTTGCGTAATGTAACTAAATTTTTTTTAACAAATAAAGCTTTATCCAAACAAACTCATTATATTATCAAAAAAAAAAGAAGTAAACTCTATCACTTATTAAAAATTGTTCGAGCAATCAATTTGATTCGTCTGAGGTCAAATTAGACAAATATGAGCAATGAATTGCATCCTGCAAATCTTGATATGGCAATTCCCTAACAATAATTGAACCAATTGCATGTCAAGTTGAAGTTGGACTCCGGGACAACATTTTCCAAGGTTAAATTCAGTTCAATCCTACCATCAAAATTTGAAAAAATAAAACAAAAATAATTTCCTTAAAGAGTTGTGTAATTTTTTTTCAGATCTGTAAAACAATGGGACATCAAAAGGCCCACCTACCATACCTAAACTCTTGTGCCCTTTGACCAAACCAAACCTTACCCACGCTTCCATACCTGTACCTGCTGCATCCTGAGTTGTACATGAGGAAAAACCGAAAAAGAGGAATAAAAGAACTTCCTTGAACCACTCCCCTCCTCTCGTTCCTCCAGTCAAATACAGAAACCAGACCCCCAGTCCTCGATCCTCCATCCCATCTGAAACTGAAGAAAGGAACCCAAATCTCAAATCTCCCCGTTTCCACAAACCCACAAAAGGGAGAAGGAGGGAAAAAAAAAAAAAGGTACCATGGCAGCACTGACGGCGCGTGAGGAGAACGTATACATGGCAAAACTGGCCGAGCAAGCCGAGCGGTACGAGGAAATGGTGGAATTCATGGAAAAGGTCTCCAAATCCTTGGGAGAAAACGAGGAGCTAACGGTGGAGGAAAGGAACCTGCTCTCAGTTGCCTACAAGAACGTTATTGGGGCCCGTAGGGCTTCATGGAGGATAATTTCATCAATTGAGCAGAAGGAAGAATCAAGAGGGAATGAGGATCATGTGAACACTATCAAGGAGTACAGATCCAAGATTGAGGCCGAGTTGTCATCAATCTGTGATGGGATCTTGAAGCTTCTTGATTCTAAGCTGATCCCATCAGCATCTGCTGGAGATTCTAAGGTTTTCTATTTGAAGATGAAGGGGGATTATCATAGGTATCTTGCTGAGTTCAAGACTGGTGCTGAAAGGAAAGAGGCTGCTGAAAGCACCCTTACTGCCTATAAGGCTGCTCAGGTTTGCTTTGACATTTATGGGTTTTTGGTTGTTGTTCAAAAGTTTTTATTTGTTGCATTCTTCGTGATTTAGATGCGAACTGGATTGGTTCAATTTGGATGCAATTGTTACCTTTTTTTTTTTGGTTCATAGATTTCCAAATCTGGGTAAGGAAATGTGGTTTTGGGTTAAAAAAGAGTTTTTTTTTTTTTGCATTTCCAATGTTAAAATAGGAGAAAATGGTTGTTTGAGCTTTCTGGCATCATTCAATGCGGTTTGATGTGATGGAACGAAGTTCCATCTTTTTATCCATGTATAAGGTTGTACGCATTACGCTATTTTTCCCTCCATCAAAGAAAAGAAAAGAGAGTCTGCATTGGTTTTGTTAAGAAGCAGAGCTTATTCCACTGCTATAAAATAGTTTCCTGCGTCTTGTATAACCATATGCTATAGAAAGGTTTATAGGAAATTGGCAAGAATTGGAAGCTAACATCTAATATCCCTTCTTGTCATAACATGAATGGTTACATGTTTGATTCCCTTTTGTTTTTTTGGGTTGGGTTGGCTGTGTTCTTTCATTGATGCTCAACAGAAGCTTACACGAGGGAAGGGGCATACCCCTTAAAACATTACAAAAGATAGACTAGTAAAACAGCAGAACAAACTCGACATACAGACCTATACATCAAATTGATAAGGAAATGCCAGCTCTAAGCATGCATTGAAGCATTGATTCAACTGTTGTTTCACTGAAAAAATGTAATGGGGCATAGATTTGATTGTTCTAACCATTTTGATAGTTCATCAGTATTTTACGTATGACTGAGAGAATTGTAGTCCTTGAATAATGATGATTGAGCATACAACTTCTTCGAGAGATTTGGCTCAAAAATGGCGTAGGTTACTGAATTTGTATCTTTTTGTCACACTTTCATTCTAATTGTTGTTCTGAACCGCAGGATATTGCAAACACAGAACTTGCCCCGACTCATCCTATCCGGCTTGGACTGGCTCTAAACTTCTCCGTCTTCTACTATGAGATTTTGAACTCTCCAGATCGTGCTTGTAATCTAGCAAAGCAGGTGAAAAATCTGGATGCAAAAATTTCCCTTATTGGCTTTGGCTAGGCAAGAATCTGGCTCATATTTTCTTTTTATATTTCCCTCTATAGGCCTTTGATGAAGCAATTGCTGAGTTGGATACCCTAGGGGAGGAGTCATACAAGGACAGCACCCTGATTATGCAACTCTTGCGGGATAACCTTACCCTGTGGACATCTGACATGCAGGTACTGCATTTTCTTTGCACACAAATTCTCCTCTTTTTGTAATATGGACCTCCTTGCTCGTCTTGCCATGGCACTTGTATGGATTTTGAATTTTTAACAATCGCCTTTTTTTGTGCAGGATGATGGAGCTGATGAGATCAAGGAAGCTCCCAAGGCTGATAATGAACAACAGTGAGGATGTTTGCTCTCTGATTGGGGTTTCACTTCTCGTCTGGTGGTTTTTATTCGGAGAAGTTACCTATTCTGATCGTCGTGCCTTTCTTTTTCCCCACCCCTTTTACCAGTCTGGCTTTATTTTAGGTGTTCGCAATTGTGTTATTGAACCTCCTTTAATGTATCCATTTCGTCTTCAGTTTAGCGTTCTCCGGATCTTATTGGCTTTTAGCTATGTCATGGAAAGGTGGAAAGGAAAAGGCTTTTTTATATGTTTTACATCTCTTTGTACTTAATTAAGTTGTGAATGACCAAGATTGAATAAGGGCCTAAAATCCTGGAATTATCGGAAGGGGCCAATAACCAAAACTGTTTTCATCCCCTGTTTGGAACCCAAAATTCAAGGGATATGTCTTGATTGATGCTGAAATGATTAGAATATGTATCCACTGTTAGCTAGAAAAATTGGCGTCATGAGTTGGTTCTTTGAAAGTCCACAATTAGTCTTTGATTCGTCCGACAGTGGGAGGGAGCACGAGGAGATATTCATTACACTACAATGAAAGTGATTGAGTGCTTTCTCAATCGATGGAAGGAAACGAAAGTGATGTAAAAAGAAGAATTCTCCATACCTCAACCATTGGCAATAATGGATCTTTCGTTTCTCTTGCAGAGGGTGAAATGAAAATGTTCTTAGGTTCCCATATCGAAGAGGAGAGGAAGTGATGAATTCTCCAAAAACCACTGAGTTTTGGCTCAGTCACTACTATAAAAAAGGGATTAAGTTCTTCTTGGGATGGTAAGTTTTGGATTTGAACTGAAGTGAAAAAAGTTCAAATGAAATATTAGAACGTTCCTTTAGTGGATTCATAAACCTATTAACCTGTCATACAGTCTCTTTAACCTCTTCCTTTTCGTAGAATAGAATAAATTGAAAACCTCCCTAAGCTCTCATTTCTTATAAAATAGGATAGATTAAAGCCCTTTCCTGGCCGTAAAATAAAATAGATTATATTATATAAATATTATCGTTGCCAAAAAAAAGAAGAAGAATTCTCCAAAATTTCCGCTCATTAAATATCTAGAAAAAGATGCTCCGTAGTAAAAAATTCAAGATTACCTCTCCACAATGGCACAATGGAAAACGTAAAGGAAGGGGAAATGACTCTCCTTCGTCGCCCGATGCCTCTATCTTGTTCGGCGGTGAGGAGACAAGTCCAAGTAAAGAAGAAAATGGGAAGAAACTAACGACAACCCTGTTTATACAACATAACGAAGTTTGGAAGGGGTAACAGAGAAACGAAAACTGCTTTAGGAATTGTACCGTTCAAAGATGCGAAGGCCAATCCACAATGGAGAAAAGACAAGTTCAAGATCAGTGGTGGCGGAACTTTTGATTTATTATTAGCAGTAGCATAAAATAGTCTAATGGTGCAAAATTACATACTAATTTAACATTATGTGAAAGACTGCAAGATGCAGTTCTGGGATGCACAGTACGTGAGGTGGATAGTGTGTGTGTATACAATCAATCAAATTATTAAAATTTTCAACACCTTTGGGGCAATTGTGGGTTATACAACAAAATATAAATTCTTTGTAGGTTATTCTATATTTTCGAGAAAACAAAAAACATTTCTTTTGACGGGTTGCAGCTGAGGGCGAAGATACGTTATAAAGAATTAAAATCGCATTAAAATGGCATTAGTACTCTTCCTTTCTTCCATTTTACTCTTCTCCAACCAATCCCTCTACTTATTATGAAGCTGAAAAAGACTAATGTTAACCTACTTTGACGGATAAACAAATCACATGAACCACAGGAATAACAAGAAAAAGAATGACCAGGACAAGGCCTGACCAAAAGAGTCTCAGGTTCTGAAACTTCTCGTTTTAATCATTGGGGAAAGAAGCATATTCCTTCTTCCTTGAAATGTCTCAAGATTCCAGCCATAGGATGCTGCCAATGTTCGTTGCAAAGGCACTCAAAATGGAGAAATTCTCACATCCGAAACCTGCAGTTGTGTCCACTATGATGAGGAAAAAGAAAGTTATGTCTGATTCTTACAAGACGCTCTTGAGGACGACTCCTTTGACTGGTAGCAATACTAACCATCACCTAAGCAAGAAAATTTCATACTCCTACAGAAGTATGAATATCATCACCACCACCAAATGTCAAGCTGGGCAACAGAAGACAGAATTTCTACTTCAATAGAACGAAATTTTGCAAATGCACTTTTCTAAGTAATTAGCCAGGTAGAGAACTTCATATATTGTGAAACCAAAGACAGAATGACGGCTGAAAGCAAGTGGAAGTTGCGAATTTATAACAATGAAAAGCAGGATCAGAACTGAAGCTGCAACTTCTCCATAAGGCTGGCTGGTCAATGACACACAACCACCACCTTAGGCCACGAAGCCATAATCTTTGATCATAAAGGGTTCACGGGAAGTTCAACTTGTAATAAAATACAAAGTAACGATGCAACTTTTCCCAAAGAACTCTTACCTTTTCTAAGTGCAAACCAAGGTCGCAGCCTGTGTGTGTTCAAAGCAAAAAAATAAGCTGGATTCATACAAAATCCATTTGTTTATACCACATTCTCCATTAGGAGAGATGCCGCAGATGGTAACTTCTCCAGGAGTAGCACATGGGTTTTGAACTAAGCCCCAAATGTCAACATTAAAATGCATCAGGATCTACACTGATAGCTAACTATCATCAGAACTTCACAAGATTGTATCCACGGAGACAGCACTACATGCTCATCTAATCGCTGTATATACCAGCAGATAATAAAAACACTCGGTCAGCTCAGCTAAGACATAACTGAGGTGGTACGAACAATGGAGTGGGAAGCATTCAGAAAAGAGTTTGCAACCACTTCAACTGCTTGTTTTTGCCCTCTCCAAAGCATGAAGAGTAACAAAAGGCTGAGGAACATTTCTCTTCCTGTACCGGGATTATAATTTGTTGTCAAGAAGCACATACCTGGTAGCCTGATCAAACAAAAATCATCTTATCTTGGTCTGCCATCCACAGATCAAGCAAAAGCCAAAAAATTAACCTCCAAAGGGGGTATTCCCGTTTTGGCCAAGTAGGCAGGGAAGCGTGTGAGAGAGGATATTTCAGGAAGTCATCACAGTCTCTCTAACAATAACCTCTCATCCACTAACAATACATGCAGCTAACTAAAGAAGCGTCAATATTGTTATCCAAAAAGAAAAAAGAACTTATAACCGAAATGACACAAGCTGATTGTTCCAAATTGTGAAACCATCATCTGCAACAGTAAGTTTACCCGGTAACATTAAGGAATAGAGCTCCTCACAATTATACAAAGGCTAAAAGCCTAAAAGGTCATACCATTTTGCAATTGCTATTACTAAATGATGCAAAATTTTGATGTGAAAGGGCAGGCAATTGTGCCCCATAAATGATAATTCTGAACTTACATATAAGTACTAATATCGTATCATCCCACATAAGAAAGATCCACCCTTTCCTCCAAAACTCGTATCATCTTTTTCTAATACTTATGCCTCTGATCAATGTAAAACCATCTGATATCATCAACCAAGCATCAAACTGAAGAAATTCCAGCTCAACTGGTGCAAAGACTTCCATATGTTACCAGGGAAATGCAATACTCTCATTAATCCCCTCAAGAGAACACATATATTATACTCTCTATAGAGCTGATCAGAAATTAAAACTACATTCAACGTATGAAAAACAAACAAAAAAGCCTGCAAATTTCACAAATGTTAACATATGAACAAATGATCTTCAAAGATGTAAAGAACAATCCCTATAAAATTCAAATGAAAGACAAATTTTTTGAAGTAATCTTTGACTACCTTCACCATTCATGTACAAAACAAAATCTAAATGAACCAGTCACCACTGCCAGCTACTACCGCATCTTTGCACTCCTGCTTTTGATACAGACCATACGCCGCCCCCCCCCTCCCCCACCACCATGTACATGCCAATATTACATTTTTGACCCTATAACCTTTATAACAAAATAGTTGTAACTCCCAAAAAGAACAAAATTCTCCAAAATGATACCTTTTGACTCCCCTTTTTGTCAATTTTCCTCAAATACCCTTCCATCTCGGGCTCGGCACCGGCAGCGAAGGAGACAACGGCAGCTGCGGAAAACCTAGACCTGTCGGCGAAAATAGCAAGCTCGGGGACAGTAAAGCGTAGGGCGACCTCGGCGACGGGATACATCCAAAAGCCAGCGGCGAAGTCGGTGGAAGCACCGGGAACTGAGGAAAACCCTGCGGCGGCGGAGGAATGTTCTGCTGCTGCTGATGCAGCGCCGGTGGCGGCGGCGGCATCTGCGGCGGCGGAAGGTTGTTCCACTTGGGAGAAGCAGCCGAGGAGACCGAGCTCTGGAGAAACCGCATGTAAGCGGAGATCGGAGACTCCGCCGCCGCATGCACAGCCGGGAACGGAGGAAGAGGAGACAAAGGCTGCCGTTGACCGATGAGGAACCCCGCCGCTGACGCTGAACCTCCTCCTCCGGTGGGATTACCACAGGTCATCGGGTTATTAATCTGAGGCAAGGGAGGAGGGCGGTTGCTAATCTGGGCGAGGGGAGGAGGGCGGATCCGCTGCAGCCGTGAGCTGGGGGGCTTCGGTGGCTGTATAGGAGGAGGAGTCGAAAACCGCTCGTGAGCTGGAGAGCCCGTGAGACGCTGAACGACGTCACGGAAGTCATTCTTGTTAATATTATACACGGGCGGCTGATGCTGCTGCTGTTGCTGGGATTGTTGTGATTGAGCAGCAGGCGGCGGCGGCACTTGTGGTGGTGGCGGTGCTGAAATTTCCTGATTATTCTGATCAAACACGGGAGGCCGACGAATGGGTTTGGAGATTTTATGTGAGATTTTGTTGAGATGTTTCAGATAAACATCTCGGTTATTTGTATTGTTGCTGTTGTTGTTGTTGCTGCTGCTACTAATGGTGGTGGTGAGACTACTGGAAGTTGTAGTAGTAGCAGCACTACTGGCGGTGGTAATCGAAGAGTCACCGCCACCAGCCGCGCCACTAGAGGAGGAATGACAACTTTTTTCCATAAAAAAAAACACAGTCACACACTAGAACAGATATGGAGAGCCTTGGACAGCAGCAACTCTCTAGTCTCCGTAACTGTAGACTCATAGACCAGAGGGAGAGGAGAGGGGCCGTCTTTCTCTCTCTCTCTAGAAATGTTGTTGTGGGCTATGAGAGGGCCATATTATTTATATTATATATATGTATGTATGTAGTAATGTTGATGGAAATGTATGATTGTATGTGTATCCTCTCTTCCTTATCTTGCAGCATTGTGGGGTCCTTGACAATATCTCGTAGCAGGGACTTGAGACAAGAAAAACGTTAAATAATTTAATTACCAATTATAAGAAGGAAAATGCTGCCAAATACTACAAAAGGACTCAACCATTTTCGTTTTGTTCTATCTGAGATATATATATATATATATATGCGCAAATTATCCTGATAATCACAAAATTTTTTGAATAATAGAGAGTTTTGAGTTTGTTTGGATAAGAATTTATTTGGATGATTTATTTGATCCAGTTACTGTAGCACTTTTTGTGATGTGATGTATATGAGATAAAGAGGTGATTGAGAATTGTGTGTATGATGCAAACAAAACAAAATCTGAAATTTTTATTCCAAATTCTTGTTGTCAAAACAAACTCCAATGGCCACTCCACTTTTAAAAGAATTTACTCACTCAACTATAAAAAATGTAAATTTTGAACCATTCAATCTATTTTCTTCGTTATGTTTGTCCAATTTGGTTATGTCTAATGACTTATGCGACTTCTAGATTTGTTAGATTTAACAGCAAAAACAGACGAAATGCCCAAAAATTTACATTTATAATAGTTTTGTAGGTAAATACATACTTTTGAAAATTAAGTAGTCAAAACTCTTCTATCATCCAAAAAGTTTAGTGACTTTCCAAATAATTCGCTCTAAAAAAAAGGTAAACGGACAAAGTATCGCGCACATTTTAACATAATCACATTAACTTTAGTGTGTTTGGATACATGCTAGCATATTGAGAAAAAAAAAAAAAACAATTCAGGGCACTCTCTTTTTCACTATTTTTTTGATATTTTAATCATTTTTTTATTTCACATATATATAATCACAAAAAACAGTTATAATACAAATAAAAAATATTATTTACAATCTATATTTTGTTATTTGTAATTCAATCATTTGTTTTATCATATAGTCTAATAAATAAAAATATTATGATTAAAATGATACTGAGAGTATGAATAACAAAGAGTGGAACGCAAATAACAGGTACCTAAAAATATTCTTCAACCAAATAACAGGTACCTAACAGGTACCTTTTCTAGGAGTTTGGAGCCTCTATAATTTCATACTATATCAATTAGCAACTCAAATACGGGTTCTCTTAAAAATTGACAAAAATACAAAACTTTTCGTTATGGGGTACTTAGGGGGTCTTTACTTTCTAGCAGCAGGGTCCCTGTGAAGGTTCTATCCCACATCGACTATGGGGGGTTTGGAGGGTTAGTTTATAAGTCCCCTGGACGTCTTCAAAAGTTACCGGCTTTTGAAGATTGTTCGGGACGGTAACTTTTGAAGATTGTTCGGAAATTTCGATTTATATGCTAAAAGTCTGAGTTCTCTCAGAAATTGAAAAAAAAAAATTAGCAACTCAAATCAGGTTGTAATTGATATAGCTTAAATAAATACATTACATCTAAATTTATTTTGTAATACATGTTGTTTGAGCAAGGACATTTAAATTTATTTTCGGGAAAAAATTTCAAAAATAAGTTTGAAATTTAGATTTAATGACACAAATTAGGCAACCTTAGACCCAACACCACGGTTTGGGCCATTAATGGCTTATGCACCTGCATCTAAATCCCGCTTATGTAAGGATTGAAGTTTAGAATTCCCAAATAAGCACGTTTTATGCGTAAAAACGGACATATGCCCGTATAAGTTGTAAAGGTTCTTTGTGAGATAGCAAATAGAACCATCAGCGATAAGCTAATGGCCACCATCAAGCCTTTAGGGTATTACGATCTTCCTAACAATCAGAGTTCGAGTTTCGCTGTTAACGTGTTCGGGGGATGGGGCCTCCTCATCCGGATCGGAGCGGGATTAGTCAGACCCCGTAAAAATTGACTCGGACATCCACTTCGTCAGAAAAAAAAAAAGAAAAAAAGATAGCAAATAGAACTCTCACGAGACGCCAACTTTGGTTGGTATGCATCATTTTCTAATGAGTTTAGCTTTCAACCTTGTCTTATTTTCTTTTTTCACGCACCTTCCCTTTCAACTAGTACATAATTTGTTGTTGGAAACTTATTGGTCTTGTCAAGCAAATTAGCTATATATCGCATTAGAAAAAGGTTGGATTTGATGATAAGACGAGATATCACTATTAATCGGTGATAATTCGCGCGTACTAATTCATATTCAATATGTGCAGGCAAGAAACCGACAAGCAATCCAAGATTTGAGAATACTAGTAAAAACTGCCAACTCTATACCAGCACATTATTGATAACCAAAAGCAGCCCGATAACTGGAATGGTATGAGCATCCATTGAACATCTCAAACGATCGAGATGGATACATGGCAAGAATAAGGAAAGATGAAAAGGTCCAAATTGCAGTAGTGTAGTGTTGGGTGCTTAAGCTTTATCTTTTGGTGGCTTAAAAGAAGAGAACGGACAATAATTTGTGATGTCTGACCCCTTAGAAGGAAGAAAAAGAAAAGACACGCTTGGGATCTCTCTTTCTCGAGTTTTCTTTGTAGCATCCTTTTTTTGTTGTTGTGGGCTGGAGAAATGAGATGCATTGCACCAGGTTTGCTGATGATGATGATGTCTATGCCTGCGAAAGCCGTCCTGAAACGGTATTTTTCCATATTTTGCAAATCGCAGCTGACATTTTTCATTTGTTTTTAGTACATGCAAGGTCGGGAACTGTGAAGAAGGGAAAAGACAAGAGGAGGAGAAAAAAGAAGGTTGGGGGGGGGGGGGGTTGGGGATACAGAGAGATGAGTTATGAGAATGAATCTTCTTGTCGGTCTGATTAAACCTTTCCCTAATAGCATGATTAGAACTATGAAATCAAACGATTTATCATTATATGGCTAAGTGATAAAACGAATTGCCCACCTCACTCGCATGTTTTCCGTCGTATTTTTCACGAAAAATGTGTCTAATGCATCTCATGTGCTATTAACGTGGTGATCCTCAGCTCCTTTGAACTCAAATTTATTGAGATCCTTACTTAATAATTTTATTGAGATCCTTACTAAAAGTTGAGATACCGCATATTTTTGTTACATGGTATGTATCTAATACATCCTCATGAGTGTTGTAGCAAAACTTCCTCTTTTTGGATTTTAAATAATAATAATATTTTTTTGAATTAATTTCATATATAATAACAGCTAACGGCGTATATATATATATATGTCACTTATTTCAACTTTACTTATATATATGTATGGCGTGTACTAAAGGTGCTAATTGATCCTTATTTTTTTTAAATATGTTTTACAACCACCTTTTTTTTTCTTACATAACATACTTATACCTCAATTTTTTATTAAAAAAAAGTGTTTCAACTAAATTTCTCTATAAAAAAAACCCAAAAAAAAATCAGTCACTTCCTTTGAGTCGAGCATTTGAAGAGCTGAGTTGAGACGGGATGACTTGGTCATGTATTTATTTAATGATTAACTTTTGAATTGATTTTTTTTTTCACACTAACAATCATGCATATGCGTAATATGTGCATGATTTGAATTTATGTTACGCGACAATAATCTAAACTTGCTATTATTAAAAAAAAAAAAATTATACGCTCACAATGTATAAAACAACACACTCTTACTTAATCTGAATTTCATCTAATCTAATATATGTTCAATTGGGGGTTCATGAGCTTGGTGCCGTTGTAAGTAGGGTCCAAATCAATAATATTATTGTAAAGCAAGTGATCGTGCGGAATACGTTTGATGCTTAGGTTCTCAACATGATTTGCACTGTACTGATGTGTGTATTAGGAGGAAGACCAGCGCATTACTCCTAAAGCAAGCGATCGTGTTTATTCAGCAGTTGGACTATAGTCTCACAGGTGAGCAACGAGGGACGAAAAAGATGCTTGCTTGCTTATAGGGCAAAGAATATAATAATCATGCCGATTCCAAATTAACCAAGAAATTATTGGTCGGCTCGACTTTTTTCAATCTTCTTTCGTTACTTTACCTATGAAGTAGCCGTTTTATCATGTTCTGATGGTAAATTTACGTTGTGTGCTTTACCCCTTTCCAACGACCTGCTGGTCATCAAGTGAGTTTCTTGATACTTGATACTACTACCACTACCGGAATACCTGTGACGGTGCCATTTTTTCTTTGTTTGTTCCATTCCAATGACGGTCGTTGCTATATGCGAAGACTGGTCAAACAATAGCTTGACCTGATATGATAACCAACAAATTTAGATAAAGATTTAACTAATGTAATCATTATCTATAAGTTTTTTTTTTCGGAGACGATAAATTTATTCTATCCTATACTAAAGGGGAGGGGATCGACCTAAGAAGGTCAAGAGTAATCCGAAGGGGACTGAATCACCATCGGATCAGACGGATGCACAGCACACCCGTCTGAATTTTTTAGAAACAAATCACTTAGATGTGACATTTTAAGGCTGGTGGTTCCATTATCTATTAGTCCATTAACACAGTTTCGATGCTTCAGCTTTCATACGTAAGAAGCTTTTTCGTGTATATTACATTGAGAAATCTACAAATTTAATCCATGGTCTCACATAGTTCAAGTTTTATTGCCCCCTTTAATAATTATGGTTGTGTGTTGAGGGCGGGGGGGGGGGGGGGTCATTGTCTTCTTTCATCTCGATTGGTGCTTATCCCTTGAAAGATGGGAGAACGAAAGGGAAATTGCAGCAAACAATGAAGGTATGGTTCCTGAGTAAAACTGCAAAATAACATGCAGCTCTTTTGAGAAGTGTAAGCAACCTTTCAAAAGCAAAAGAAAGAAAGAAAGAAAAAGAGAATTGCTTTGTGCATCGCTATCACCTTCCAAAAGAAACTGAATTTTAAAATGAGAACCGAATAAAGTACATGTACAAGATATAACGCTTGGCTACATTATGAATCTTTGAAATTCAAACCAATATATGTTGGTTCAATTGGTAATGACGGATCACGTTCTCATAAAAGATCTTATGTTTGAATTTTGCTGTCAATGTATATGCTTTAACTTGCAGTGACGATCGGAGTTGAATCCATCAAAAATTTTTTCTTAAAAAAGGAATTCCATTGTCCTTGAGATAGATGCTGATTATACAATAGAACGTAATTGTTTTTGTAAGTTACTTTGCTTTGCTTAGGATCTGGAGGGTTAGAAATTGCCACGACAAACAAGAACAGACGGAGGAAACAGTTCTATCATGAACTATTAATTTCAATGACGTTGTAGAATTAGTATGATTTAATTGCACGCACTCTAATCATCCATGTGATTTGCTGCTAATTTGACCATTGACTTTTTGCTTATCAGTTGTCGATTTGATGAATGTTAACAAAAATATATATGTGAATGTGCCAGACCGCCGATGCCGACATTGAAAAATTATTTAGCCAGTCATGGGTCAGATGAACTTCCAAAACACATATACTTTCATGTTACTTTTTTTCCTATAAGTTGCTATCCATGTCTTTGGGGCATCCCATGAGACGTGATATTATGACTTGTTCAACGGATGTTTGGATTCCGATTTTTTGTAAAAAAAATTAAAAAATTTTACGTTTCCCGTAAACATATTTTTCAATCACCTTCTTGTTACATCATATATTTCAAATCGTTATAATATATTTTTCTATAGAAACTCTTAAAAATAAAATTACAGTTTTATGGGCTAAATTGAAATATGACTTTTTGGAAGTTGGGTTGACAAATGACAAAGTTGAATATCTTGAAGAGCTTTGTTGGATCAAAAAATTGTGCTCAATTCTCTAACAATACGCCCTTTTACCCGAGTATAATAATCTGATTGAGACATACTAGCTCTAGCAAATGGTAACTTGAGACGGAAACCATGAATGAAACTCAAACGATGAGATGAGATGGTTTGAAAATCTCAATCATTGATTTAACTTTTCCGATTGTCTGCTTAACGGCTTGAGAATTTTCACACTCATATGATACAAGTCTTGGATAGTTCAACATCTTCGGCTTGGGCCGACATAGGTTTTGATTGCCCATATTGATGACCTTTGTGTAGAATCTCTTGCAAAGTTACAAGCGTCTAATACAAGAGGATTTAGGCAAATTTTGCTGGAGGTCCACGAGCTATACGAGTAGCTAATGCTAGGCTCTTAGCCCTTCTGTTTGTTCATTTTATGTCATGCAATGGTATTGGCATGCCACCTGATTTTCATATTACTTTGGTTTCTTCAATTACATAAAAATTGGGGTGGTTTAATAATAATCATGAAATAAATCGCACTTTTTTTTTTTTCTAAAATTTTGACATGGTTCTGTGTTAAATGTTCAAGACATAAATGCAACTATGAGAATTGGGAATCCTTCCAACTTCCAATTCCAAACACAACATTGTTAGCCAAGAGATATACTGCTTTTAACTGTTAGTAACTTCTCCATTGGATGCTGCATAATGAACGTTCTTTTCTAGACTCCTCTATCCTTATGCCCCCATTTTCCCCTTCCACTTAAAAAAGAAAGAAAAAAAAAGAGTGAAGAGGGAGAAGTTCTCCTTGTTTATAATCATAAATCAGGCTTAGATGTATATAGAGATCAGGCTTAGATGTATATAGAGTTTCGATGCTCAGCGGATTTTTTTTTTTTTTTTTTGTGATAACAAAACATATTTCATTGACAAATTGCTGGAAATCGTTCAGAACGATTCATATACATCGTTGTCCTAATGGCGGATAAAATATGCACTAAAATTGTAGATCTGCAAATTAACAGATACAAAAGAATTGAAAAATTAGAACAGATCTAAAAAGTATCATCAATTTTAAAATCATCTCTTCATAGAATAAATCGCTGTAGTCCACTCTGTGCATGTTGCAATCGTCAGATCTGCTAATCAACAGTTGTAAGCTCCAATAAAGATGATGAGACCTGCCGACAAAGACTCTGAAATAAATTTAGATATGACAACCAGATTTGAAATAAATTTAAATTAACCAATAAAATAAAGAAAAATAACACAAAATCTCACTAGGAACTCCTAGAAAGAACAAAAATTCTCACTAGGAACTCTAAGATAAACAAAGGTCTCCCACTAAAAAAATTTAGGAGAGACTTTTTTTAGGAAAATATCAAAAACAAAACCTATGGGAGGGACTTCATGCCTCTCTCTCGAAGAGGAAGGATTTAGAGAAAAAGAGCAGTAGAAAGAAGTTAGAAAAGAGTAGCAATAGAGAGAAGTTGGAGATTTGATGATGCTTAGATGCTTTGCTACTTACAATTTTTTTGTATCATAAATTATAACTTTTTAATTATTTTAAACATAAAGCATTATTAACGATAGAGGATTGATTCCCAAAAGGCACCGTGAAATTTCTCCAACTCATTGGGTGAAATTCAAATGGCATGAATATTATTTTTGGCAGGGGAGTCGGGACCAAAGGCAATATTGGCAGCATTAAATTAGTTAAGCCTAGGATATTGATCTAATATACCGAATATTAATAAGGAGAATGAATGATAACAAATAAATTTATCAAAACCATATGAAAGTTAACTTTAAAAATTAAAGCTAGTTTCATTTTTTTTAATTTTGATTTTAGGGTGGGGAATCTGGGATTAATGAATTTGGCAAACACAAAGATGCAGCTGCAAACGAATCAAGTTCGGACCCGCTATTAGTATCACCAACAAATGCCCAGATGGAGAAAGCCCATCCATCTTGTGTTGTATCCTCTAAAGGGCAAGGGTGAAGGGCCAATTCGTCAAGTCCAAGTCTAGAAAAGATCAATGTAATAATTGAATCAAATTTCAGTTTAGGTTGACTACGTAGAATCAGTTAGGGATGGGCACGGGTCGAATACTCGTCCCTAATAAGATATGACTGATTGGACCTTAAAATATCGGATCAGTCATTTTATGACCATAACTCGCTCTTAATATTTTCGAGTACCCGCTAATCAATCAGTAGTGTATAATCAGTAGTGGATCTTGATCTTCAACAAATGTTCTCAATAATCCCCAACAATGACAAGAAGGGTCCATCCCTCAGAGGTCAACCAACAAAACAATAGTCTTCTTCACTAAATCAACATAACAAATGTTGTCACTGCTTGGAAATATGTGTTTGGATAGTAAAAAATTACACTTTATTTACACCTTATTTACACACACACTGATTTGCTTGTGTCATCAATATATTTTTCAATCACCTTTTTATTTCACATGCATCGTATCAAAAAAGTGCTGCAGTACTTTTTTTACAAAATTATCTCAAATAATTTACAATCCAAACACTCTTTTCCATCTTTGGTAACGAGCTACTTCTTCGCACCTATTAAAAGTGTCATACTTTTTATTTTATGATGTTGAAAATGTTTGTCATATTATTAAAGTAAAATTTATTTTTGATTTTTTTAAAAAATATTATCCCTATCTTTACCTTTGCTTCACATTAGATTCAATTTTGAATTTCGAAGTTCAGAGGACAAAATTGAAATTAAAAGTACTAACATCACATCAATTTGGTCCTCCATATTTTAAAATTTTTTTTTTTAATTTCTCACATTTAAAATCAGTCAAAATGGTCCCTCGTATTAAAAAAAAAAAAAAAGGTCAAAAACCGGATGCCTGCATTACGTGCCCATCTCTGTGAGCATACGGAACATTTGAAATTATGAACAAGCGTGCGTTTCTGACTTGTTGGTTGGTACCTGGTGGCGCACATATCCAACTCAAAATTGCTTCTCTCTAATTCTCTCTCTCATTTTCTTTACCTTTTTCTTAGATCACGTACATCATAAATTAAATAGAACACCTTTCTTCATATTTTTCAGGGGATTGTCCTGCTAGCTAATAATTGATGACGTTATTCTATAGTACTTACATGCATAATTTTTCCGAATAATTAGTCATTATAAAAAGATTCCCCAAACAACCATTATAGCGAATTGCTGCTGCACTGCCCACACAACCATAGATTGCCTCCTAATCACTTTTTTTACACAATCAACGAGGAGATAGATGAACAAAACTATTAAAATGGGAGAAAGCAAGAGGAATATACGAGAGTTGCTGCCGACATTAGTGTCCATGAGCAGTCAGACAACACATAGCCGAAAGAGGAGCAATTACCCATATATATAACCAAGTACCATAAACGTTGTAAATCGAGCACGAACTTGAATTCGACGAGCTTCAAATTTAAAATCAAACTTGAGTTCGGATTTTATATCAAGAATTCGCTCACTTTGAAATTGAATTTGAGCTCAATGAAATTAAATTAAAATCTGATTCGATTAAGTCAAAACTCGACGGCTGACTGATTTACTGCTCTGGCCTGAGCTTCTGTCAAGGGCTATGGGGACTGCATTTGCCATTTAGGGTAGAAACAGTAACAGAGAAATAAGAAACAAGTAGCACGTGTACAAAAGGAGAAAGCATCGAAAGGTCAACTGCAACATGCGCTTCAGTCAAGCAGACTGTAAAACTTACTCGCGTTCACGGGAGGAGTAGTAGTTTGGGAGTAGTAGCCTAGTAGGTTGGACCATGGAGCTTTCAAATGCATGTGGCCCCCTTTTGTCTATATGTTAATAAAAATATTTTACCACACCCTATCAAACAGAAGAAAAAACGCACGGAAGCAAGGAAAAGGAAAAGAAAAGAAAAATACACCCAGTCGTCATGGAAGCCAAATTCCGGTCAGATACCGCAGGAAAGCCCATAAGATGCAGAGGTTCATCTAAAACTATCCGTTGAACTGTTCTGATTTCATTATTTTATCACGGTTCTTATATGTTAATTATGGCTAATTAGATCAGTTGTTGCACGATACATGATCCAACAGCTGCGGTATGCAGAGGAGCTGGAGAGCCCCTAGTGATAGAAGAGATTCAAGTGGCCCCTCCCAAGTCTGGGGAGGTTCGAGTCAAGATTATTTGCACGTCCCTTTGTCACGGTGATATTAGCTTCTGGCGATCAGAGTCCGTAAGTCCCACCAAAGCATGCTTATCTGAATACCATTTTTTAGTCTGAATGAATTTCTTTCTGAGGCATTATTTTCATATGATTTCTTAGGGGCCATTCTCATTTTTCCCAGGAATTTTTGGTCACGAAGCAGCCGGATAATTATGCATTTCTTTCCCATCTCTGGAACTTGTTGCTTGCCACTAGCATATCTTCTTGACTGTGAAATCGAATTTTCTTGTGCTCTTGGTCATAGGACTGTTGAGAGTGTGGGGGAAAATGTGGTGGAAGTAAAAGCAGGGGATTTAGTAGTACCAGTAGTGCAGAGGAACTGTGGAGAATGCAGGGATTGCAAATTTAAGGGCAATGCTTGCACCAAATTCCCAGCTGCGTCACTCAATGCGATGCCAAGGGATGGAAGTAGCAGGTTTTTGGACAAGGATGGACAGCCTTTGCATCACTTCCTTTTTGCTTCTAGCTTTGCTGAATATACTGTGGTGGATGTGACGCATCTTGTGAAAATCAGCCCTGAGGTTCCGGTAGACAAAGCCTGCTTGCTCAGCTGTGGCGTGACCACGGGTTAGTCACATGATCATCGACTATTAGAATCAAACTTATCTCAATTCTGCTACTATAATTAGGCAATGTTTTGGTTGGCAGAATTTTCCATTTCTTTTGGCTTCCTCGTACGATCCGAGCTTTTCACGATGGAGAAGTCTCAAGAATTCCAAGAAATCAACATGCTTTAGTTTTAGTTATGTATGAACCTATATATAGGTCACCATTAATTCTTGCACAATCTCCGGGGAATTTGTTCCCAAAGGGAGAAGTTGAATGTAAGGTTTGAGCAATTTATCGATGGTCGACCTAATGCAGGAGTTGGTGCTACAATGAAGGCTGCACAGATTGAGGAGGGCTCTACGGTAGCAATTTTTGGACTTGGAACAGTGGGACTTGCGGTAGCATTAGTCTTGGCCTTCAACTCTTTAATCTTTTGTTCATGTATTTCTATTCTAAGATCTCACTTAATTAGTCTGAAGTTGATAAGAACTGTTTGGTCCCTTTGTTTTCTAGATCATTTATAGTCTGAAGTTGATAAGAGTTGTTTGGTCCAAAGTGTTCTTGGCCCCCCCAAACCATTCCACCCCTCCTCTTCTGTCGTTGCATTTTATTACTACCTTTTTCATTCCCCACTTGGTATCCATCTCAGTAATCTGAAGATGACAACAACATTAAATTGTAACAGGTTGCAGAGGGAGCACGGATACGTGGAGCTTCAAAAATTATTGGAATTGATAAGAATCTTGAAAAATTTGAAATTGGTTGGTTTGGTTTCTGATCCTGACATTCAATTTTTTTAATTCCTCTTTTTTGGTGTTCAATTCATTTGGCTCTGTACTGGTGTGAATTTGACAGCTAAGAAGTTTGGAGTTACAGATTTTGTTAATCCTACTTCTTGCGGGAAAGATTCAGTGAGCCAGGTATAAAGCATCCATTTTTAGCAGTACATGTGAAGGGTTTATCATCGGTAAGCAATATGATGATTGATTTCTTGAAAACAATGGAGCAGGTAATACGAGAGATGACAGATGGTGGTGCTGATTATTGCTTCGAGTGCGTTGGATCAACTTCCCTCATCAGGGAGGCTTTTGATGGTTCTCGGCAGGTCTCTCTCTCTCTCTCTTTCCCTCCTTTTTCTTTCATGTTTTTATCCATCTCCATATATCTCATTTGATAACGCCAGCAGCCTCTTGCGCTGTTGGTAGCATCAAAACTTGCCACTTAATTGTGACTGTCACTTAGATAACATTTTTGTTGTCGTTGCAACAAAAAAAAAAAAAATCTCATTTGACAACATTTTCTATGTCATGAAATTTTCAGAACTTGTATACATTTCATGACTCCTACACCATTCGTTCCCCCTAAAACATTAGGGGGAATTCTAAGTTGGCAAAACGGATACCTTATAAGTTACTAGTTACAACCAACTCAATCAAAGACGATAGCCCATTCATCCTTTTTCCTTTTTAAAGGAAAATCTAACAAATTTATTAATGGGATTCTTGGAAATTGTCTAGCACTATTTGCTTGATAAAAGTCGGAAGGAAATTCCAAAGAAATGTGTAAGACGGATTAGATAGTGTTGATTTTTTTTTTTTAATATATATACTAATTAAGACTACTGATTATGCATGATATATCGTAATTGTTTTACCATCATCTACCATTTTAATTTGCTAAACAAAAATTCCTGAAAGTTGTAATTGGGATGCAATGTATTGTGATTCAAGTGAGGAATGCAATGTGATGTTGATTTTGAGCATTGTCAATGGTTCAGGGATGTGGAAAGACTGTGATATTGGGTGCGGACCTTCATGGCAGCCCGCTAAGCATCCACCCTCTTGAGATCCTTGCGGGGAAAAGTATCATGGGAGCTACTCTTGGAGGCATCAAACCCAAACAAGATATTCCACACCTGGCTCAAAAGTATCTAAAAAAAGTAAGTTAATTTTAATTACGTAAATATCCCAAAAAGAAAATGTTGAAAAGTAATGTGGAGACAACCACCCCAAAAAAAAAAAAACAGTTTTTTGGGATCCCATCAGCCAAAAGAAAAAAAAGGGCTTTATTTTTATTAACCATTTAAAACTGATACCAGCACCAACGGAGGTACAAAATTTTACATGCTCATTTGTTTCGACCATTTCTAAAGTTATTTGAACGAGTTAGCGTTGATAAAAGAAATGGAGAATATGAACAACTTTTTCCCGCGTATGGTGAATGAAAAGCATTGAAGCAAAGAAAACAGGGCGAGAGTTAAGTATGTTCAAAGCAAAATGACAAGATGCAGTACTCTTTCTTCTGTTTGATAATTTGGCAGGAGCTACGTTTGGATGGTTTCATAACACATGAAGTCAGCTTTGAGGAGATCAATAAGGCATTTGATTTGCTTCTCCAAGGGAAGAGCCTTCGTTGCATTATATGGATGAATAGATAGAACCCATCCTACTGCAGTGTCGGCAAAAAGACACTTGAGAATTTGCCAATAAACATGATGGTATTGACGGTTGATATCTAAAAAAATTATGTGATCATAAACTGTACGTTCTCAATTTTGGCTTTCCGGGTTTCACTTTTATTTGATAATCCAACCCAAAAGGGGGGAGAAAATTTTATGGGTTCTGTTCATAGTTTATTTCGAAATTGAGGTGAATGCTGGCATTCAAAGAAATTGTCAGAACTATCGTAACCAGCTGAAAATCATCGATGCTTAACTACATGTGAAGCTGATTATGTCTCACCTCTTGTTGCCTGCCTGCAAAGTGGGGGGGGGGGGGGGGGGGGGCTGGTTTGGTTGAAGGCCGGATCTCAATGCTTTGGACCGTGATAGATTTCAACCATTTGGCTCCAAATTATAGTAATGTGATGCATCTGCAATCTCACCACCTCAGTGGCCACTAACAATCTAAAAGAATCATCATTTCCCTCCACCCCCCAAAATTAGCATTGATTCGGTTAGCACAAACCCAACTTCAAGGATATAAATACGATCTCCTTAACAACTCTAACAAGATCTATGTTAGTCTATTTTTGATATTAGATCTCTGTGTTTTTTTTTTTTTTTCCCAAATTGATTGTAGAATCTGATATTTCTTAGATCTAACTTGTCAGATTTTACCTTAACGCTTGGTTTTGAATTAGTTGATTGGTAGATCTGCAAGGAATCGTGTAGTACAGTTGGGAAGGATGTACAAATAATCTTGGAGTTACAAGTATTTTATCTTTAGATTTTTTGGAGTTTCCGTATAATATTATATTAAATTTCTAGATTCGTAGTATTAAGTATTTATTCTTCAGATTTGTTTGCATTTATGTATGATTGATATAATTTCTATCATTAATGTAGATTTTAATGAAATAATTTTTTTTTATAAAAAACCAAATTTAAAAAATGCAAAATCTGATACTCATAATTGCTATTCGTGATTAGTAGTGAATATCTTCCAGGTCAATACCGAAGTATAAACAAAAAAGGCAAAAGGCCGACCGAGGCTGCAATCTCGAGTTAGAGCTCGAGTCAACGTGGAGTTCAAACTCAGCGTTCATATATACGAGTCGAACTCGAGCAATCATTTGTTAGATTGGATTGCTCGACAAGCCGCTGGAAAAGTTTGAATTGATATGAAATTATAAAAATACCCATACATCAATTAAAATTGAGCTAACTTCGAGCTTCTCGTGAGTTAGAATGTCGAGCGAAATTCGCGTTGACGTCTCGAGCTGCTCGCGAGCCAAAAACAAGTCGAGTTTGAACTTTTTTTTTCTAAGTCGAATCGAGCTCGAATTTCATTTTTTTGGCTCGACAAACTCGAGTTCGGATATTAACAAGTTCACGTCAACTTGATAAGTTCAAAACTCGACTAAACTTGACTAACAACGAGGCCCATGTCAACAGGCATTAACCTAGGTAATAGTCCTGACTAGACCTTATCGCTCAATATTGGATTCAGGTGAAAACCCAAAGAAGTCCAACTCCAACCGGCCCAGGATTTAGTGAAACGTGGCTTGCAGTGAGTGGCCTCACCGGCTAACAACTACTAGGCTCGACCAGTCTAAGCTTCACTGCTGAATTTCCAGTAGAGCCTTGTGGATTTACTAACTTGTAGTAAAAACCTAAGGCAGCTCGATCGTCTCCATTCATCCAAACCAAACCGGCCCTTTTGTTAGCTGACTCAGAATTCAATGGCCGACGTTGGAACTGCCAAGCCCCCGTCCTTATCCGAGGTCTGCGCTTTTTTTTGATTGTTGTATGCTGCTTTTCTTTCGGGGTTCTTGAAATTTCAAATGTTGTGATGTTATTGTTGAATTCTTGATAGTTGTTGAAATGGGTATTTCTGGGAAATTGAGGATCTAAATTTTGTTTAGGTTTTTTATACATCTTGTTTTTATTGGGATAGGGAGTTGTTCTTGTGAAATTGCTAGTGTTTGCTGGAATTTGGGATTAGGATGGTGAGAATCCTCCTGATTGAAGTGTGTCCATTGCTTTAACTAAAAATCCGCTCTTGAATATGTGGAGATTGTAGGGAGAGGAGTGTTGAAAGGAGGAATGGTATTTGTATTAGGACAATTGTAGGTTTGTATTTGGATTAAAGAACTTGGATCTGAGAAAATGTGATGGAGGCCTAGTTTTGGAGTATAAGGACAGAAGATAAAAAGGGGAAAGAAATTGTGTTATGGGAGAACACAAAAAAGACAAAAGAGGGGAACAATTTGTTAGTATGTCTTGATGTTTGTTTGGTGGAAGACGTCAAATTTTAAGAATTTTAACGAAAAAGTCTTGCTTTCTCTGAGGATGGAAGAAACAAAATGAACTGCTGGAAAGTTTTTTTTTTTGAAGGTGTTTCCAATTATTTTTCTTTTCTCCCCATCTGAAAATTCTAAAGGAGTGAAAGTTTCATTTTTCTCTGCAAATCTTTCATTTCTTTCAGTTTCCTTCTGTCCAAATGAAGCGTGATTGTGTTGAAATCACGTTCTTTCTGAGACCACATGATTGTATTGAGGACAAGGGATCCAGTGTTTTCAAAGTAACAATCTTGTTGTCACTGGTTTAAACTTGATGCATGCTTAAGGTCATTGTTTGTATCCTTTAGATGCAATCCAAGATTGCTTGAGCAAACCCATAGTATCATAAATCATCCAAACAAGTGATGATTGAATGATACATTTGACATATCACCTGTACGATTGAATCTTTAAAATTCAAGTTGGAACATGTTTTTCCCTGCGATATTGCGGACTAACTGCATATGAGAAGTTCTGTAAGCAGTTTATCTGATAAGTAGGATAACAAGTTATATTTTGCACGATAACATAGTTTTTATGAAGTGTGCATTCAATCGCTCGTAGCCGTGAATCAGCCGTGTTTACTACTTGTACTATCTAGTACAAAGGAGCTTGTAATGCAATGTAACAAGCTTAGGGCATATTCCCTGAGCTGAAGATGTACTGTTTAATGGACAGTTTGCTTCCAGAATTGGTTTACAAAGATTTGGTCTTTTCGTGCTTTTCTGTTGGCTGAGCTGATGGTTATCCTTGTACAACTCAAAACAGAGAGAAGGTCCATATACAAAATATATCCAGAGAAATATTGAGCTTATTCAGTGAGCAGTTATAGATGAAAAGTATGCTTTAATAGTTGTTACTGAAAGCAAGGGTGCTAGCTGATATGTGATTTTAGCTGGAGCGCCCAAGTATCCTGAACTTACTTGACCTGAGTTTAGATAAATCTTTGGTTCAGTAAAATTGAGTGAATGGAAGTATGGTAACAGTAAATGCTTTTTTACTAATATCTTAGGAAGGAAAGATTCATGTTTGAGTAAAAGCAGGCAGACTAAGAAAAGAACCTGTTTCACTTTTACAATAAACCTCCAAATTAGTGGTTCAGGAACAGTTGAGAAGCTGGAAAGACAAGCTTTAGTTTTGGCTTGCCTTCTTAAATGCTTGTGTCCTTAAACTTTTCCTCTCTGTGTGACATTTTCCTGGCATAATGACTTCAGAATTTTGTGATGTCTTGAGCTTTCATCTTCCACGATGCATTTGTAATTTTCTTTTTTGCAAACTTAACATGCAGCTTTATATTACGGATTAAACCTTGTCATGCCTCCTTGACTCCATTCTAGTTGGTTAGTTTTCTACAGCTTCTGCACAATTGATGCCAATTCATTTCTTGTTGTTGCCGTACTTTTGTTTTGATGACTTGTGCATGTGGATTTGGATAGGCAACACTTGCTTTCTTTTGTTTCTCTGTGATACCTGATTGTCTGATAATTCTTTTGCCTAGCAGCAATATCTATTGAAGGGAAAAGAAGAAACATTTGAAGTCATAACAAAACCTGTGGAAGAAGCTGAAGTTAAAACTTCAGAAAATATTACTGTTGCAGAAGAAGTTGTCGAGAAAGCTGAGGATACTCCTGTCGTTGAAAATAGTGAAGTCCCTCCTACTGGTGCTGATGGAAGCAGTGAAGCTTCTGATACTGCTGCTGGAGAAAGCACTGAAGCCACTCCTGCTGCTGAGGCTGGCTCTGGAGATGATACACCTGCTAGTGAAAGTGCTGAAAGTGAGGTGGCAGGTGATCAAGAATCCATTGAAGATGCTCCACATTTTACGGTTGGTTTACTTGCTAATTGATTTTGACCTTTATCCATTGCTTGTATTCCCGATGTTTGGTTTATTCATCTCTTCATTGTCCTCGTTACCAGCTTGAGACCGCACCTGCAGACTTCCGTTTCCCAACTACAAATCAAACCAGGCATTGCTTTACCCGATATATTGAATACCATAGGTGAGTTGTTCTTGTTGGCATCTGCTCTATCTTTTACTTTTTATTTCGTTAGGCTGTGCAGACTGTGCTTGAGTTAGGCTAGTGAATTAGTCCGGGCATTCCAGCATCATAACCCAGTTTATTTTCTCAGGTGCATAGCAGCAAAGGGCGAAGGTGCCTCTGAGTGTCAGAAGTTTGCCAAATATTATCGTTCACTTTGCCCAGGGGAATGGGTATGTTGCTTTGCTTTCACAACTTTCTACTCATGGACAGACGGGATACTCTAGGATGTTGGTGCTAGAATCATAAATCCATGACACTGGTGACATCGTGCTTTGTCCTGGGCCTCCTGGCCTCCTTGCAAAGAAGTAATAAAGTAAACCCAGGAAAAAATGCACGGAGATTTCTGATAAAAATGATTTTGTTGTCTACTGGTTGGACACAATATCTTGCTACTTTGCACTGCTAGATCACGACTGCAATCTAGATGTCAAGAAAGCAATTCAAGTCTGCATGAACATTGAAAGTGCATTTCCTGGTTTCTTTCTAGTATTTGGTTTTTATGTTTCTGCATTATGTTTTAACCCTGCAGATTGATAGATGGAACGAGCAAAGGGAGAATGGCACCTTTCCGGGACCTTTGTAGATGATGCCAGCCAATCGAAGATGGTTCCTGGAGTTGACTTGCGAGATGCCTGCTGTCTTTCCATACGCATAGAGAGAATCCTTTTCAATCAACCGAGATAATAAAAATTTTGGCTTCTGTATTCTATATTGGAGCTTGTTCAAGCACGAAACTTGTTGCTCCTCAACCAATGAATTTGCCGCTGAAGAATGATCATACCTTTGAGTAGACCTCTC